AAAAAAAAGCCCAATTCTCATGTAGAAAGCGAGTTTCTTTATCCTTTACCCCTTGCACAACACTTACTCTGTTATGTCAAATAACTCCTCTTAATTTTTCTAAGAATTTACACAAAGTTGTGTACCTATTGGTAGACATTCCATTTATAGCCATTTTTTTTCACTACTAAAAAGAAGTCATAAACATCCTTATGCACATATGAGGATATTTTTAGCAGTGAAATTACTTAACTAGTAGATAAGTTTTAAATTCTGATAGTTAATATTGAACAACTGTTAATCTTATTGCACACAAACTATGTATGAATGCCAATCACTCCATGTTAGTGCATATTGAAAATCTTTAAATGTTATCCCTGGGATGAGAAAACTGTCTTTTACCCATTGGTAGTTTCCTGATTATGAGTTTAGATACCTTTTCAAATGTTTGTTGTTTGTTTTTATGTATTTGGTACAGGTTTCACTGCACTGCTTGGACTCAAGAGTGATCCTCCAGTTTTCAGCCTCTGCGTGCACCACCACACCGGTCTCTTCAAAAATTTTTTGACCATCATTCGTATTTTTTCCTTTGGGAATTACTTATCCATATTGGTGGCCTATTTTTCTATTTTTTTTTTAAACATTCATTTATTTATTGTGTGAGTGTGTGTATATGGCCAGCTCAGCCCACCAGGGGGCGGGGCTGGCTGGCCTGTGGCGCTGGGGGATTGAACCACGGTCCCTGTGCTTTGCTAAGTTTGTTCTAAGTAGGTGCTTCAGACCACTGAGCCATCTCACCAGCCCGCTATTTTTCTATTGAATTAACTTTTTCAACTGATTTGTGGGCTAGAAATACAATTTCTGTACACACAGGAATACTTGTATGTTATTATCAGTTATGGCAACTGATCCTAACCACATGTGGTCAGCACAGCTTGGCTGAGTGCTGGGGCTTGGCCTTCATAGTGTGTGGCTTAGAGCAAAGTGTTTAATCTCCTTGACCCTCCTTGAACCTCTTCTATAAGTGGTGATAATAATACGTACTCACTGATTTTCTTTAGCTATGAATGGAGCACACACTCAGTAAATGAGTGACATTTAGCATTATTTTTTAAACTGAGACATAATTCACACACTATGAAGTATACAAGCCAGTGTTAAAAATAAAATTTATTAGTAAATATTTGGCACATCTGATCATAGGGAATTTGTATCTGTACACAGTTATCTTTTTTCCCCATTCCCTCACTTCCCTTCAACCTTTCTTCCCTTCTCCACTTACAAAGTTTTTCATTTACCTTGCCATTCTTTAAATCCCTCTTCCTTCACCCTAAGCCAGTTTTAAAATATTGATAAAGTTGACTATAAACCACCAGCACTTATCTAATTCAAGAAAAATTTCAGCAGCCCCAAAAGAAATGCCAAACCCAATCACTCCCCATCCCTAGTTCTAGCTCTAGTTTTTTCTCTTTTGGACATTTCGTCCACTGCAATCATACAGTGTGCTTTTTGGGTCTGGAATCTTTCACACTATAGCATACTTCAGCACCTCATTTTTATTGTTGAATTATCACTCACTGTAATGATAGACCATATCTGATTTAGTCACTTGCTGGTGGCCAGACACTTGGGTTGTTCCTACTTGTGACCAGCAGGAGTAATGCTGCTATATTCACACCCAAGATTTTGTGCAGACATGTTTTCAGTTCACTATACCTAGGAGTAGATTTGCTGAGTCATATGGCAATTGTTTAACCCCTGCCCACCCCAGTACTGGGGACTGAACCAAGGCCTCTGCACTGAACTACAGCCCCAGACCTTTCTTATTTTGAGACAAAGTCCCACTGAGTCGCCAAGGCTGGCCTCAAGCTTGTGATCCTCTGGCCTCAGTCTTCTGAGTAGCTGAGATTGTAGGCATACACCACTATGTTCAGCTTGGTGACACATTCTGAAACCGTGTGCACATGCATAACATAGAAGCAAACCTGCCTACATGGCTTTATGAGGAGGGATCATCTCATGCAGAATGAAACTTGTTCCCTCAACAGTTTTTCTGGTCTATCCCCAGACTGTCCTATGCTATGGGAAGTTTTATCCTCATGGGCCTGGTAGGCATTCAGCTAACAGACAAATCTGAATGACACCTTTGAGCCCCAGAAGGCCTTAACAGAAATTTCAGACAACAAAGACTATAGTCAACTTACTACCCCCAGCTGAATTAAACAAGCGTGCTGCTGGGTGCAGAGGCTCACCTGAGGACTGTTGCCAGCAGCGTAAATGCAGAACAGGAGAAGCTGCCAGAATGATGTTAGGGATGCTGTTTGGAGAAGCTGTTGGAAGCTCCTAGTTCTTTGTGCTGTTCTGCTGGAGGACTTGTCAATGCTGGCTTTCCCGATGAGCTCTGGAGAAGTCTGGGTCCTCATCGTGAGCATCGCTTCCGGACTCTGGAGGGGAAGATGACGCACAGCTCAGCCTCATGGAGAATCTTGTTTCACTGGCTTTCGTGATGGGAACTCTGCTTTCTTCATCGCTGGAGGAGCTCAGGACCTTGCTGTTGCTGAGGATGGTTGTAGGAGAGCTCTGGTGCTTACCTTGAGTGTTGCTTCCTGGTTCCAGCTCAGAGCCCTCCGCTGCTAGCACAGATCCTTTATCCCACTGGCATAGACTTCCTAGCTTCCACCACTGACCTTTGGGCCTTTCCAACAGAGATCTGTGAAGAGGACCTGCATGGACTTTGTTGTGGGCTCCAGGCCTCCAGCTGGACTTGTGGGAGGCATTGCTATGAGCGCTAGGTTTTCCTCTGGACTCCTGCAGGATATTAGGATCTAGGCCCTCGGCTGGAGTCTTCAGTATTTAATGTGTGGGTAGATTTCCTGCACTCACATATGGTTCTTGCATGATTGCTTATAAACTATTATAAAACATGTCCTGTACTATATTGCTTGCCTTGCAAAATCCCCAAACCATGACAGACTTTTGCGAAAAGCTTCATAAAGCTTGTAAGTGCAACAATTTAAATGACACAAAATGGTTCTTTAAGATGTGGTCATAACACTACAGAGATATGTTAATTGTATTGAATGAGATATGTTAATTGTATTGAATGAGGTCCCAAAAGTTTTAAAGAGGAACAAACACATCATGAGGCAGAAACAGGTCCAAAAACTACATTTATTACTTACTGCTTGGACACATCATATACAAAAGAGGTAGAACAGGGGAAGATAAGGATTTGAGGAAAACAAATTCACATACTTGGAATGTCATCATTAATTCTAACTACTACAGAAATATAAAATTTATACAGGTTATTTATTGATAAAGACATTTTGAGAAGGATTTTTTTTTTTTTTTGGCTGGCTCAGGCTGCCTTAAGGGCAGTTCTGGTAAGGCATGGGGAGCTGCAGATCGAACCGCGGTCCCCTGCGCCTGACTAGGTTTGCCCCAGCAGGCGCTTAAACAACTGAGCTAACCCCCAAGCCCCTGATAATGACATTTTGATGTTTGCCAAAAGGAAATAACCTACTCGTATATGCCAATAAAAATTTTCAAAAATTGTGCTTAACATTATAGAATCTTCCTAAAATGGATCGGTAAGAGTCCTACATAGCATTCATTCTTATTACACATATATTTTCCATTAAAGACTGAACAGAATATTTTCACTGCATTGCTGAGAAATCCACAGTTGACAGCTACATATGCAGCCCCTGTACGGAACATCACGGCACTTGCGCTAAGCCCGCTTCTCCACAAAGTTTGCCGTATTAGCTCACTACCTGGTTCTCTTCAGCACTTCTTATATGTCTTTTGTCTGGTCATCTTCCTCAAGTTTCCTGATTTCATTTTTTAAACAATTTATTGTTTCACGACTTGCTTTTAATCTCTCCTTAAGCTCTGCAATTTCAAAGCTTGTTTTTTTCTTGGCAGCTTCTAATTTTTCTCTGGTTTTCACTTCAAGTTCTGCAACTAAGGAAAAAAAAATATTTGTACTGAATTATTTTTCTCACACATCTAAGATGTGTCACCAAACAATACACATGGTATTTCCTTAGGTCGATGTTTCCATGATGAAATGTGACAACTTAAGACAGGTAATACTAAAAAGGGATGGGAGGGAGAAGGGAAAAAGTCTGAATTCCCACGGCGGGGGAGTGGTGGTGGTCTGGGCTATTTTCTACAAACGAGTGACCATCTGGCCACCAACCCACAGGTAAGAGATTGTTCCCTCACTTTTCTCTCTACACACACATTAGTTTGGAAACAAGTGGGTGCACAAACGCAAGGGCTATCGGCTAACAAAAGAGCTGAGTTGGTCTTTTCTGTGCCTGAAAGCAAACCCAGGCCTGAATGAATGCCACACCTGCACGCTGAGCTATATCCCCCAAACTATTTCTCAGAGCGGGTCTTAGAAAGTGGGCCAGCCTGGCCTTGAACCTGCAGTCCTCCTGCCTCACCTCTCGGGTAGCTGAGATTATAGGTGTGCATCATCATGCCTGGCTAAAAGTATGCTGAAACTGACATACAGGTGAAACTTAACAAAGCCACATTATCAAAATAGACTCGTATCTTTTTCTTTTAAAAGGTAATGTAATTGTCTGACTTTGAATTCAGCCCTCCCATTTATTAGTTGTGATCTCTTATTTCCTCTCTCTATGTGAATTTCTTTCCTCACTTACACTACAGAAATTATAACGGCAAGTATCTCATATTATTATTATTTTTTTAATATTTATTTATTTGTATTTATTACATTTATTTATTGTGTGTGTGTGTGTGGCCAGCTCAGCCCACCTGGGGGCGGGGCTGGCTGGCATGTGGTGCTGGAGGATTGAACCGCGGTTCTTGTGCTTTGCCAAGCTTGTTTCAAGTAGGTGCTTTAGACCACTGAGCCATCTCTCCAGCCCATATTATTTGTTGAAAAGACTTAAAGTGTGTGTATATATATATATATATATATATATATATATATACACATAAACACATAATGGTGCTCAGAGATAGTGTGGTACATAAAAAGCCTTACCAAGTATTATAAAGAAGAGAAATATATGAAGAGAATATATTTCTACTGGATACAAAACATGTTATTAAAGAAAATGTCACTGCAATAGGATATACCTACTTAAAAATGCCTTTTATAAATGGATGCAACTTGAGACCATACTTGTAAGTGAAATATACCAGGCACAAATGTGTAAACATTGTATTGTCCCCCTAGTGTGAGGAACTGAAAGAGTAAATGTGATCCATAATGGCAAAACAGGGCCAGCCAAATAGCTCAGTGGATTAAAGTGCCTGCAAGCAGGCGAGGGTGCCAGGGGTTCGATCCCCAGCCCTGCCCTGCCAGCCCTGCCCCCCTCCCCGGGGGTGCGCGGAGATGGCAACTGAGACTGGGCATGGTGGCGCATGCCTGTAATCCCAGCTCTTGGGAGGCTGCAAACAGGAGGATCACTACGAGTCTGATCTAGTAGTGAGAACACCCTGTAGACCCTTCCTTAAAATATAAATAAATAAATAAATCAAAAAACAAAATGCACAACAGATATAAAATGGGAAGAAACTTCAAAAGGAAAGAGAAACTGCTTTAGGGTAGTGGAAAAAGAAGACAAAAGCTAAAGGAAAAAAATGTATATGCATGCAAAAGATAGTTAAAATAGTTACACTATTAATTTCTCTCAGTTCATTGAAAAGAGGTTTACACTAATATTATTTGGACAATTAAATGCTGCTATCTCATACTTGAGTAACTAATTTAAAGATGACAATATGTAATGTGTTAACACACCCTCTTATCATATGGTTTTGGCATTTTATGTATTTTTTTCTTTATTTAGTACAGGGTCTTGCTATGCAGCTCAGACTCGTAGTGATGCTCCTATTCTAAGCCTCCCCAGCGCTGGGATTACAGCATGCGCCATCACGCCCAGTCTGTTTTTGTTTTAAAAAATTTTTGGATGCTTTCTGACAGTGTGGCATTGCTTTAAAAAGAAAAGTCTGCCTGCGCCTAACATCTCCATCTTGTGGACATTCCTGGTATCTGCTGCTGCCAACAAAATATGTACAACTCTTAGGACAGATCCCAACTTCGAAACAAAACAAAAAAGATGTAAGCTCACACACACTCTCAGCCTCTTAATGTGTGGACATTCCAGCCGCTATTCACCCACTTCTTTTCTTTGTTTTTAATGGAAACTGGGTCTTTTTTTTTTTAACTTTTATTTTCTGTTTTTCCAGTGTTAAGGATTGAACCCAGAGCCTTGCACCTGCTGGCCAAGCACTCTACCACCGAGCTACACCCCAGCCATGGAGACAGAGCGCTGTGTAGCTCAGGCTAATCTCAAACTCACCATGCAGCCCAGGTGGGCCGCAAACTCTTCCCATGTCCACCTCGAGTGCTGGAATCACAGGCCTACACCACCATGTCTGTCTCAATTTCTTCTTACTGATATGGCTAAAACTACTAGCAAAGGAAAACATCCGATAAATACTAAAGAGTACTGCTAGGGTTTGTGTCTCGATGGCCCTCCGAAGCCGTACGCAGCGACAGGTGGGGCTTTTTCAGTGGTAGCTGGATCTCCAGTGTGAGGCTGGGATCGAGTCGCAGTGCAGTGCTTGGATCAGAGGAGCCAGCCTTAGGCTGTGAGAGCCCCCCACCCTAGGCAGCTGGGGCGACACGCACGGCGTGGACAGCTGTGGGCGTCCCTTGCCGCTCTGCTACCTTCCGCCAGTCACGAACTGCTTCTCAGTGATGCCTGTCTGCCACGCCACCCTACTTTGTAGCTGGCCAATTACGGAATGAAACTTCTACAAACTGAGCTATGTAAGCCTTTCCTCCTTTAACTGGGCATGCAGTACTTTGTCTCAGCAAAAAGAAGAGTACTTTCTTTATTCATTGTTAGAAACTGGCTTCTTGTGATACTTTTTGTAATAATAATTCTACATTGCAAAACAATTATATTTTTCTCTGTAATTTCCTTCATTGCTTTTATTTTAAAAAGCATTTATAAAATAGGTAGAGCAGCCTCCTTTCAAATCTCTGCAGAGAACCGCACTGGATACGTAAGTCATTTAGTCTGTCTCCCACTGACACCCATCCAGGGTTCCCATCTTCTCCTCCTACAGCAACGCAGGACTGTGTATGCTGCACATAATCACTTCAGCAGGCTGGTCGATAAAGTCCTCTAAGTGAAATCACTGGGTCAAAGGCTCTGTGGACTTGTCTTTTGGGAAGAATGCCCAGTCTCTCTTACAGGATCTGCCAACTTACTGCATCAGTTTTGTGGTTTTAATCTCAAAGCTTAAAAACACTATTTCAGAATACCTTTAATTAACACTTTTAATAATAAATTGAAAGTATTCTTTTTAAAAAAGAACACTTTTCCTATTTTTTTTTTTTTTTTGTGGAACCAGGGATCAAACCCAGGCCCTTGCGCTTGCCAAGGAAGCGCTTACTCCACTGAGCCACCTCCCCGGCCCTTACTTTCCTATTCTCGCGTTACTACTGGGCTGGCCAGGTTTGCCTGTCTGCTCATTTCTCGGCTGGCTGCTGGCCTTCTTTGTCCATCTGCAGGAGCTCTTCATGTTTCAGGCGTCTGACAGAACATCTGGGTAGAGCGTTTTTTCATGGCATGCCTCTCATAGACTATGTTCACATTGCCTTTTATTTTTACTACACAGAAACTTTTGTTCCCTTACTCTATCTGTCATGAGTAAAAAAAAATAATTGTGTGACAGAACTTTGTTAGCTGCTGGAGCAGAGGTAGGAGAGAGGCAAGAAAAGAAAATGGTGTCATACAGCATCACGAGGCAGTGAGCATGAGGGCTCAGAGAAAGGGAAAGGGCGTGCATGGATCAGGGCTGTCTGGACTGAGTCTTAAAGAACAAGGAAGAGGCAGATGAAGTAGACACGGCGGGACCTAGAAACAGCACAGCTATACTTGGAAGGCCACAAGGAGGCCTGTATGATTCTAACATGTAGTTTTAAATAGAACTGATTTTTAACTCAATTGTCCAGATAGCGTTCACGGTAGATATAACAGATTCTTATGCACAACTGAGTCGCAATACTTTATTTTTTTTTAAATTTTTTAATTTATGTATGTATGTATGT